ATATATATATATATATATATATATATATATATATATATATATNTAAAAATTGCTATACTTAAAAATTACACTTATTTCATTTTCTATTTAATTCATATTGGATTAACATATTTATTAATATATTTAAACTTTAGTTATTTAATTAGAACGAACGTAATTTTTTTCATTAGGGAATGATTCCCGGCTTCAGTCAAGATTTTATGTCGAAAGGTACAGAACAAGAGTCTATGGCAAGACTAAAACGTATAATGACCATCATGGATAGTATGAATGATTCAGGTTAATTGTCCTTTTTAATCAATAAAAGTACTCGTTACTTTTTTATACGTTTGTACATTTAAAATATGAAATTTCAAATTTTTACATCTATATATCGTACGAAGTGATATGAAAAACACGAAGAAACATATGCAAATAAATAATTTTCTAAATAGAATTTAGATAGAAATAGAGAATTATCTATTAATGATAATTCGTGTCTAATCGGATATCGGTTAATTTTATTTATATTTTCAATTTTCAAATAAACAAATTTTCAATTTACTCAAAAATAAAAAATTTTTTTTTATGTCTTCTCTTACTCTCTCCCTTTCTTTCTCTATCTATCTATCTATCTATTTATCTCTTTATTCCTTTCGACTTATTTTTACACATAAAATTATTTCTTATTCAGTTATATCATCAATTTATGAGAAAATAGTTTGTTTTTAACGAACTTGATTGATAAAATTATAAAAAAAAAAAATTGAAAAATTCGTATTATATATGTATTCGTACGTATATTTATATCTCTATAAAGTTTATAAAAATTTATGAAAATCTTAAAAATTAAAACATATTATAAATACAAGAAATATTTACAGAATTGGACAACAGAGATGGTGCAAAATTATTTAGTAAACAACCAGGTAGAATCACAAGAGTGGCACAAGGTTCTGGAGTGACTGAAAAAGAAGTCAAAGATGTAATTACTCAATATACAAAATTTGCAGCAGTTGTAAAGAAAATGGGTGGTATCAAAGGATTATTTAAAGCAGGAGATATGTCTAAAAATGTAAATTCAATACAAATGGCAAAATTAAATCATCAAATGGCAAAAATGATGGATCCTAGAGTTCTACATCAAATGGGTATGAAACATAATTAACTATCGAAGTAACTTTTGTTCTCGAGAAAATTCTCGATTCGATTCAACCCGATATTTTTCGTACGCCTCTAGTATTCGATAATATCAAAATATTTGTATAATTTAAATGAAAATGAATATTTGAAAATTAAAAATAATTATTCTTTCTTTTTCTATTTCAATATTAAAATTTATAATAATATTTTTAGGAGGTATGCCAGGATTACAAAATATTATGAAACAACTTCAACAGGGTGCAGCGGGAGGACCCTTAATGATGTGAATGTAGGATTACCAGTACCTGCTTTATATTTAAGTTTATGTACATCAAGTGTCATTGAATCATTTCGTATCGAGATGCAAACACAGGATAGCGAAAGTTTCATACGAAATGCTGTGCAAAACGTTTAACATACGCGTGAAATCACTTTATATACTTGCACATTGCAAAATATTTCATGCACGACTTTCGCTGTCATGTATTTGGTTAGTGAAAAATGATACAACAACACTTGATATATAGAAAATGTTTATCGTAGAGATGTTAAGTTGCAGGCAGGTGATTTTACTCAAATGAATGTTTAAGTAAAATTATATTTGATAATAAAGTAATAATATAATAATCAAATGATATTCATCTCTCTCTCTCTCTCTCTCTCTCTCTCTC